GAGCTTTCCAAGAACGCCAGGTCTCGTCGAAATGTTGCGTTCCACAATTGCATTATAGCGCTTTAAAAAAAAATCGATAAGGTTTTAATAGGAAAGATGTATGTTTTAATAGAGGAAAGATAATATATACAGGCACAAGTGTTTGCGGATTACATTAAATAATTTTTTTTCAATCAGAATTAAATGCCGATTTATATATGAAAATATTACATTATTTATTATTTGTTGACTTGTAAGATTTTTCTAATAAATCGCGTTTTTCCTCAGTTCGAAGGCACGCCGTCGGAAGGAGTAATTTCAAATATTGATCAACGTGCACGTTGTTCAATCGAATATTTGTTGTAAAGAATGCGGCAGCGCCGGCAAGTCATGGGGTCGTAATAGCGGAACTTGCGATTGTTTGCGGATGTCAAGTCGATCGCTTTTAACGACGTACATCACGTTGATCTCTCGATAAACTCGGCCGCGACACACGCGCTATCGATTGTAGCTTGCCGCAAATACGGCGCAGGCGTGACAGACTGGCAACAATTGCGCCACGTAAAACGTAAAACACCGAGTCGCATTCTCGAAAATTGGAAAATGGAAAACAGATTAAAAAAGATCGTGCTACACGATCGCGTTACAGCCATGACACGGCTCGAAATTAAATTGGTACCGGTATGGAAAATCCATTCGGAATCAAATTCGGAAATTATCATGGGAAATAATCAATCATATTCTGATCTCACTGATAATCTGTATATCCCTGATTTCCATAAAAGATTTGCATAATAAATTCGAGTTATTATCGGGATGTAAAATGCGGCGCAAAAGTCATTTTTTTTTTTTATTGTCGCCGTTATTGTTAAAGCGTAATGTTGTTTGGTGTCTCTCTTTCTGGTATTTATCCTAAAGAACGAACGCATAAATATCCAACCCTTTGCCATTGAGAGGATAGTTGTATAGATGAATCGAGTTTTAATCTCATTGCGTCAAATAAAACCCTTCTTTACAGGGATTAATAATCATCATGGTTGCATGCCTCAAAGCCGATTGATCGCATAACGCTACGCAGCTCTGACTAATGTCACCTGATAACCTATTTATGGCCTATTTTGCCTTTTTGCGACACACAACACCCTCGTGGTTGAAAAATGAAAATCAGAGGGAAGATAATGCACATCCGTCCATTGATATTTAATCATCAATCGCGATCGCTGGATGCTATTATTTGTTAAAAAAAAAATCTATCATTTCACAGGAAAAGAAAATGTCACAAGTATATTTATTTATGTTTTATATATTTATGTTTTATTATTTTCTTATAATGCTTGTCAGATATCTCGTGATTGAAATATGAAAGGAAAATATAAAAACGGTCTGATTTTGTTTTGTACTTCGGGAAAGAAGCGTTTTTTTATACGTGTTTATTTCTTGAATTACGCTAGACCTTCGTTGCGTAGTTTTCTCTTGAAAAATCTATGAAAAAATAATTTAATTAAACGTACAAGGTAGATTATTTTATGCGTATTTCTTTTTTCAAATTTTACTTTATGCTGCTCGTACCACAAAATCTGAGTCTACTCTGAAAAAAATCTGCAGTGTATATCAAGAGATGTCTATATCGACTATATTTTTTATGAAGCTAAAAAAACAAACAAGGCGTTGACGTTTCAATTCACGTATATACGTGCCATTTCCGAAAGGAAAACAGAGATATGGGAAAAATAAGGACAATATATAAATTCAATAAAAATAATCCAACGGGTAACGATTAAAAGCCTCCATGGCAGAAACGTGACAATATAGTAGTCCACTGCGCGCCGCTGAATAAATAAAAGACATGGCATTTCCATTATCGCGCTTCATAATTTCGAGTAGGACAAACGAATAGGCCGCTGCGTCGAGGACACTTTTCAAATGCAAATCTGCGAGCCATTCACCATATGACAATCCTTCATTAGGAGAGTTCTCAGGATACACAAGCGTTTATGTAATTTCTCTCTCTCTCTCTC